TGCCTTTTCATTAACAATTTGATCCTTACTGTCATTGTCACTGTCCTCCCATTGTTCATCGACTTGCTCAAGTGGGCCCAGTAACATTGTGAGACTTGTTACTGTGTTAGGCCTATCGAATATGTCATGAGTAGCTTGCCAGGCTTTGCCATGAGGGTGAGATACTCTCGGTAGCTTGCCGGGCTCTCCAAGAGGGGCAGAGGAATCGAACTCGTATTTAGAAATTTCTTTTGTATCTTGAACATAGATAATATTTTAATGGTTTCTTCTAATTGGATAGTATTTCTTTTCATTCTTAACATATGCATCAATATGTATATTGATATACTATCTTACAGTTTCCCCCCAAATGATTAAATTGGACTGATACCTTTTATTTCAGTACCATTTATAGAATGATCTTTTCCATCTAACTTTGGAAGTTGTCCTCACTATGTGAGAATGAACACTCATATATATCCCAGCATCTACTTCTGGGTCAGGTATTAGGCTTTGAGTCTTGAAGTTAATACAATTTTTTTTTTAAAAAATGAAAAAGATCTTAGTAAACTGTGTGTATTTTACTACTTAAAAAAGGAGAAATTTTCCCAGTTTCTTATTTTTCCTTACTCTTATTTGAAATACTAAATTTTATTCCTCTGAATGAATTTTGAAGTAAAAAAAAAAACCAAAATATTTACATTTTAAAAAATCCTACTGGACTTTTAAATGAATAGGTGAGAAGTCATTGAGTGCTATAAATTAGGAAATAATCTACATTGTAATAATACTTTATCTTTCTACGTAAAAATTAGTTGATTTCACTTTCTAAATTAAGTTTCTCACTGGAGAGATAGTACAGGAATAAGGCAGTGCATGTGCCATGGCTGTGACCTTGATTTGATCCTTGGCACGCTAAGTGGGCTCTGCACAGCCAGAGGACTCTGCACAGCCTGAGCACACCAGGACTAGCCCCTGATCACTACCAGGTGTGATCCAAAAATTATTAAAAATTTTGTTTTTCTTTCAGTAACAAGAATTGGCATTTTCATATAGGTCCACAAATTTCTTACAATGTTGGAATTTTTATAATTATTGTGAAGGAGATAGTTTTGCCTATTTTTCTGTAATAATTTTCTGTGGTACATAAACTATTTATTTTTGTCTGTTTATTTGTTATCTTGCCACCTGTTTCTGTCTTATTCTTGTGGGTTTTCTGAGAAGACGAGGATATGATCTTAGCGGTAATTTTGCTTCCTTTGTAGTGGATTTCTTATTTCTCTTTTAGGTCTTTGTTAGAATTTTCAATAGTGCTTGAATAAAGTGGTACTTATTAGCATATTTGAATGCACTGTATCTCAGTTTATTTTATAATGTAATGAACAAAATTTGAAATCATTTTGAATCAAATTCATTTGCTAACTATCATATGTGCTTGGTGACAATACTATCTCAACTGGCAGTAATTAGGCAGGCAGTTGTAGAAATAACCCCAAATATTTGGAGTTGGGGGTGGAGTGGTGATAAAAGTCTTGTTCAATGCCCACATTTCCTGTAGTGTTTCTTGCTGGTAAAAGGATGAAATCTTACAAAATGGAGAGATAATTTGATTTTCTAATGTGCAAAAACCACTTGGACTCCTTTTTATGAGTTAAGAACACATTCAGTTGCACCATTTCTAAATCTTGAACTCGAGCTTCATTTTACCTTACAGTTTGAAGTGAATGAAAGTTGTGGTTGCTGAGGCTATTTCAGTGTTAAATAAAAGAAAACAATAATAGCTCTAGAAAGGAGTCATCCCACTGTATAGAATAAGCTGAGAGGGGCTGGAGCGATAGCACAGCGGGGAGGGCGTTTGCCTTCCACACAGCCAATCCCAGTTCAATTCCCAGCATCCCATATGGTCCCCCGAGCACTGCCAGGAGTAAGTCCTGGGTGCGGAACCAGGAGTAACCCTGTGCATCGCCGGGTGTGACTCAAAAAGAAAAAAAAGAAGAAGCTTAGAAAAATAACTCTGCCACCCGGAAAGATTGTGATAACCAAATGAAAACAGTAACTGCTGTTGGTACTGCCAGGAGAAGTGAAAAGACTCTTTTGAGTTCTGTGTTTAAGTGAAACAGTCCTTATTTCTATATTCCGTCCATTGTAGTTTCCCCTGACAGTAACAGTTCTCAGATGGAATATTCGTATTTCTAGATTCCCTTAGATTTGTTTGTTTTTGATTTTGACCCCATCTGGCAGTGCTCAGGGATCACTCCTGGTGGTGCTTGGGGGAGCGTGAGCAGTGCTGGGGATTGAACCTGAGTAGGTGGCATTCACGTCACACCCTACCTACTCTCTCCCCGGCCCTGTAGATTTTCTTTTCTTAAATGACAGAACTTTCTGTGACGGAAAGTTCTGAGGCTGCAGTGCACGCTTGCCTGTAAACTGGCCTTCTGGGGTCCTGCTCAGTCCACTACAGGTAAGCGGCTCTAGTGTTTGAGTTGCATTGGATTTTTTTTTGTATTTGAGTTGCATTGGATCTTTTTTTGTATTTGAGTTGCATTGGATTTGTTTTTCCCTGTTGGGGAGGGGCGGGGCATGCGAGAGGTCGAACATGCCCTGCAGTGCTCAGGGCTTACTCGTGACTCTGCACTCTGCAGTTGCTCAAGGGCCCAGGTGTGGTGCTGAGATGTGGTGCCAGGTCAGCCACATGCAAGGCAAGCACCTTACTTTCTGTACTCTTGCTCCGGCCCTTGATTTGGGTTGAATTCTGTGAAAGTGAAAACTTCAGGATATTGCGATGTCTTTGAGCTTACCCTGCAGCTTACTGAAATCAATGATTTAGAAATCTTTTGTTTCTCAGCACCAGGCAGATTCTGGCCACAGATTGGGATCGGGTTTTTTTTTTCTTTTTCTGTTTTTATAATCTGATGCTATTGTAAAAAATTATTGATGTTGTTGGTCTATTAAGAACTTATGTATGGAGATACTTTTATATGTATGTATGTGGAGGGTTGTACAGTAGTACAGTTTCTCAAACATCACCAAACTTAGTTTGTAACTATATAGATTTTTATCTTTCAGATAAACGTAAACTAGTAAGGTTTTCCTGCTTTTCAAAGTTCAGTGACAAGTTAATGAAGTAGAGAAATTAAGGTGATTCTTTGACACACATTCTTCTTTCTGTTACCTCACTGCTACTCTGAAGTTTGAGTAATACGAGAAAGTGAAAAGATGATTGGGATAAAACTTGAAGCAGTTCAGACAAAAATGTAGAGAAGAAAAAAAACTATTCAAAGAAGCGTTTTAACACCCTTTTGTACTGGTACAAATTCAGCTAAATTTTAAAAGGCCCAAGTAGGTACCTGAATGAATGAGAAGTACTAAAAATAGCATCTGACTTTGATGGAGCACCGTGCTGTCAGACCTAAACCCCCTGCTGACTCTGCACTCAGGAATTCTCTCCTGGCGTGCCTGCAAGGCAAGTGCCCTGCCCACTGTACTTCTCCGGCTCCCATAATCACATTCTTAAACATTAACTTTCCTCTGTACATTTTAAACATTCTGCTAGACAAATGCCTCTCTAGCTCAGTTGGTAAGAACATGGGGCTGCAAAAGCATTCTACCAGGTACAGGAAAAAACGAAATTGATCTTGGGGTTTTGGAGGTGACTCAGATCACATGCCTTGCGTGCCTGAGGGCCCAGGTTCTGTCCCTGGCGCTGGAGCACAGCCGGGAGAAGCCGTGCTGGGCATCCCCCTCTTAGGTTTTAATTTCATCAGTACCTGGAAGATTAATCCTCGAGTCATAAGAACTATAGGCAATAGACTCCTCTAAGCTTTCCTGATGAGCCCTCTTCTCTGGTGATCTTTGCCTTTTCTTCTGTGTCTACAGCATAGAGTTTTTCATTCAGTGATAAGACATCTTGGATTTTCTGTTTTGCTGGCTAAAGCATTATCATGATCTAAATAGACTCTAAACTCAATGCTGTTATCATTGTCTTTTTTGTTCTACAGACCTGAGCCCAGTACTAGTTACACATTAAGTACTTAATTACTGATTATGAAATTAGTGAATAAATGAGCAGACTTTAAATTGTCAGTGTCCATCTACTGATTATGAGCAGGTGTGTATGATTGACGTGCAGTACAAAAACAAGAAATTTTTATTCTGCATGTACCAACATTGCTAAATCCAACACTGCTGCAACCATGGGACCCAGACTACAATAATTAAACTTTAAAATGCTCCTGTTAAGGAGGTGGGCTGGAGGATGGGAGGGAATCTGTGAACATTGGCAGAGGGATGCTGACACTGATAGTATGATTGAAACTGGAACAGTGGATGGCTAAAACTCTGTTTGATAGCTTTGTAAATCATGGTGCGTAAATTAAAAAAATTTTTTTTTGAAAAATGTTTCAGAATTATAGTGTTTTTTTTAATCTGAAGGAATGTTTATCAAACATATTGGTTTCAGGATCCATTCACATGAAAATATTATTGGATAGCTCAGGAACTTTTGCTTGTTGTGAATGATATCTAGTGCTACTTTCCATATTAGAAGTTAGAACTGAAAACTGTCGAATATAGGAACATAAAGTATCATTCTGCTTGCTGTCAGAGTAGTGGCACCAGTACATGTCCTAGTGTCCTGGAAAATGCTACTGTCCACTAGAGATAATGAGAGTTATCCCGTTTTATTATTACAAAGACAGTGTCTTAGAAGTGCTTTGAAAATAGGTCAGAACTCACATATTCCTGAAAAGATCTTGGAGAATTGATAATCTGAACTATTTCATTGGAGCACCGAATCAGACAATACCCTGGGTTTTCTGTGATCTGAAGATTAAAACCGTGTTTTCCACTTTTATATTTAATCATGAATAATGTAGATATTATAAGTAGTCATAATTATACAGCAAGTACAAAAATTATTTTTTGATGTTAAATGATTTTTTTTTAAGAAATGACTTACATGAAAAAAATATTTGAGAACTGAGTTCAGTGAGTATTTAAAGTTGGGTTCTCTTACATTGCAGTTCCTCAGTTTGAAACTACGTGTAGTTATGTAGAAGCTACACTTGAAGAGTTTCTGACCTGGAACAGTGACCTGTCTAGAATTTACGGACCATTTAGAGATTACAATCGTACCAAATTCTGGGCTTATGCTGACTATAAGTACTGTGTCAGTCTATTTGAAGACAACACAGATATTTTCCAGGTAAGTCAATACGATCACGATCACGACCATCCTGTTATTCGTCGATTGTCTCGAGCAGGCCCCAGTAACGTCTCCTTCGTCCTAGCCCTGAGATTTTTTAAAAAGTGCCATATTCAAGGCTCTTTCAGAGTTAGGAGAATGAGACCCATCATTGTTACTGGTATTTGGCATATTGGGTACGCCACGGGGAGTTTGCCAGACTCTGCCGTGTGGGCAGGTTACATTCGGTAGCCTGCCAGTTTGTCCAAAGTAGGAATGAGATATTAAGATGTGGAATTTGGCGGATCTGGGTGGAGGATGCTCAGCCCCGATCCAAGTAGGCTTGGAGATCTCAGCCCCGGGACCCGCTTGCCTTTGTTCCTCTGCCGGTACCTTCATGTGTGCAGAGAGTGGTCTCAGCATGGTGGTGGCTGGTTCTGGAGGTCTTCGGCTGCTGGAGCCCTGGTCGGGACGGGGAGGGAAACTCAACCCGCTCCCCTCCAAGGGACCCCGGCAAGGACAGCCAGGCGCAGGGGCAGGAGGCTCTGCGCTGTTCTCTTCCGGGAGCTGGGTTTTATAGTCTCTGAGTCTTGGCCGTTGATGGGATTACACGGCGCCAGGGGGCCAGTTGGTGGGTGTGACCCCCGCCTACTGGAATTTGGAGGATCTGGGTGGAGGATGCTCAGCCCCAATCCGAGTAGGCTTGAAGATCTCCAAGCCTACTCTCCAAGTCAATACATTCCTGATAATTATGCTAATAGTTTTTTTCTGGAGAAAAGATTACAAATTAGAATCTCTTGGTGCTTCTTTCCCTCATAAGTAATTGTGGTGAGTCTTAAGTAGTTTTTTCACTCAAACCAAAAGGTGTGCTTCATTGAGTGTAATGTTATTATCACACAGGTGAGAGGCCTTCTTATTGGAGACAGCTGCTCCTGACTTTACAATGGTTTTACTTAAGAATTTTGACTTTATGGTAGTTGGAAAAGCAGTATAGATTCAGGAGAAAGCCTGATGAGTTTTCAGCTCTACAGATTAATTGTGAGAATCCATAGTACCTTATCTCTTTCTCCTTTAGTAGAATATTCAATAAATTGCCTGAGATAATCATCACTTTGAAATGATTTTGCTCAGCTGGAGGCTATTGTAAGTGTTCTGGGCATGTGAAGATAGGCCAGGCAAGTTGTGGTATTGGGCAGGTCAGTTATACCAATGCACCTTCAATGCACTTTCAGTCTGCAGTGCTTTCCATTTGGGTGAGTTTATTGGGACAATCTAGTTGTAACCCTAAGTAGGTCAATGTCAACTATTCTTTCCAACTTAATTTGCTGGTAACAAATTCCCGAGCTAGTTTGGAATATTTTAGGGCCATGGATTGTATATAAAACTTGCTTTCGTCCAAGCATAATTAATGTAAGGTCTTCCTTGGCCCTGAGGCAGGTGGAGGTACAAAGCTGCTTACATGAAACCTTTCTAGAACCTGCGCAGCATTCTGGGTAACTGACTGTTGCCATCTGCCCTGCTCTGGGGTCTGGCACAGGGGTATAGCCAGAGGCAGAGTGTCTGGGCTCCTGAGTTTGGATGGTAGAAGCTGAGCAGAGGTACTGGAGAGCTTGCCTGAGTAAGAACGTGCCAATTCTCAGCCATGTGTTGACATAACTGACAGTGGTTTGCAGATGACCTTCTCTTGAAGTGTTTTCCATCTCAGACTGACCGTTTATCTTATCAAGTGATTTTTGCAGACTTCCTGCTCTGGTTTCCATGTGTCTTAGGCATGGGGCATGGATGGGAGTGGTTCCAAGTAGCTGTTGGCAGGACTGCCTTGCCAGCAGTCAGTCATGGATCTAAATGCCTGCAGGCTGTCCCGGTCCTTCGTGGAGAGAAGGTTTTAACATCACTCAGGGTGTTTTCCTGTCACCCTTCTTCCTGCCAGTCCCCATCATCCTTCTCAGGATGGTCCTTGGGCTCCTGAGAAGACAATCATTCAGGCTGTATGTTTCCTGTGCACTTTGAGACATGGTGAAGATGCGGACGTGCACTTAGTTATCATAGTGCAGCTGGGTTTATGATGTAGCTTTACTTTGTTGCATTCCTGAAATATTGATTTCAGATTTTACTTTTTTGTTAAAGAAAGGAAGAATATATCACTTGTCCCTTCTCTTAGCTTTGGAAGTGTAATTTTTTGCTCATAACCATGAAAGACAGGCAACTGTTTTGAAAACATTCAATAAATGCTTTCAGAACCCAAAGTCAATACTAAATATATTTGTATTTATTCATTAAATTAAAGAAGTTAATTTCCCCCTCCCCTTTCTTTTTTTTTTTGATGGGGGAAGGGGGTGGATTTGGGGCCACTTATAGTAGTGTTCAGAAGTCACTCCTGGCAGGATCATATGCACTTCCGAGGATCAAACTGGGTCTGACTACTTGTAAAGCAAGCGCCTTGCCTTTCAGAAGAGATGCCCTGGGCTGTATGTCTCTCTGTTCCCCACTCCCCCTTTTTTTAAGTCCTATGACACTCACAGGTTGTTACAGTCCTCATGCATGTGGTTGTAAAACCAAGGATTCCAAATGGCAGTGCCACCAAATCACTAGTTGTCACGTATGGCAGCGTTTTTCAGGCAAATTGCATTATATGTTGTGATCCAGGTTGGCTACTGAGAATCAGACCCTGCTAAGTCATCAGGGCTTATAATGCCAGAATGTAATAAATCCCAAAATGTAGGTTTTGTTAGTTATAATGTAGCGTGTACTATATAACGTAGTTACGGGAGCATGTTGAAATAGACCCACATGGTTAAGTAATAGATAGAGAAGTCAGGTGGCCAGTACTGCTTTCTGATGAAGGCTTTTGGAATGTAAGCACTGTGTTTATGCAGCCTATCTGTGAGGAGTGAGTTATCTAAAATCTTTTCGTTTTATTACCTAAGGCAGTTTTCCAAAGGGCAAAAGAGCCTAAAATATTTATTAATTTATCGTATCCATTTAGTTTGTTTGAAATTTATATTTAAATATTCTTGATAAATTTTACACAAAACATTATTGTATTATTTTTCTTATTTTGAACAATATTAGGTTTCTTTTTAAAGTTAGAGGTAAGTTCCAAGATTAGCCGTGATAGAATCCAAATACTATTTCAAACGTGCTGTCTGCGCGTGCCCGGGAGTTTCAGCCCAGATCTCGGATACTCTGCTACAAGGCACTGTCGAGGCCGTGTGTGGCATTGGGTCTGAGGGCCATGCTTTGGAAGGCCTGTGACAAAGTGAGTGTAGTTAAGAGGAGAACAATTGCCAAAAATACTAAGTGATACTGAGTCTAGGTATAACAAATAATTAACAGATATGACAGTTTTTCAGGGTAATATGTGGCAGAAGAGGAACATACGATTTTCTGTAGAAAGAAAATCTCCGACCTTATGAAGAAAGCAGGAATAGATTTTGCCGTGGGTGGGCAGGCAGATGCTGAGTTGTCCTTTCGAGGACGGTGTTGAATAGAAATTTCTGGATAGAGATGGTTTCTAAAGACTCTTCCAGTGCCTGGAATGGATATGAAACTAGATTCCAGGATGGATCACCCCACCGGTCACCCGAGTGGCTTCAGTGATGCAGCAGCCACAGGGCGCTGACCTCTAGCAGGACTCGGTGCAGGGTTCTCCTGGGAACCCCACCCCTGAGTTCAAATCTGAGACTTAGTAAGAACCTGAGCTAAACTGGCAAGAAAATCTCAACTCTCAAGACTGGGCTGGTGGAAGGGCGGTGAGAAGCACGGGATCACTAAATGCTGTTTATTTTCTGACGAATTTCTCTGACTCTGCTTCTGCTCCCCAGATCATTCAGCTTTTAACTTTCCCAGCCAATTTGAGATTGAATTTTCTGTTTCCATGTGTCTAAACTAATTTTTCTTTTTCAGTGATTTCTATGTGTGGTAAGAAATCAAACACAGAAGCCTCTTGTTACTGCTTATGTAGTCAAATCTTCCTTCTGTGGTTCTTTGTGACACTGCTGTAAAATCGGTTCATTATTGTTCATCAGCATCCTCTGAGTATATGTAAAATGTAGCAAATGATTATATGTGGTGAAGGGGGTTGGCATTTGTTAGCACCTCAGGTCAGCCTGTGATGTAGTAGTTTTGTATTCAAACACCTGGCATCATACTAGGTGCATGGTAGATGCTCAGAACTGTTCTTGAACCATTTATCCCTGATAAGGTAAGACATCCTTTTATCCCTGCTCCCACGCAGTCAGTGTTTTCGGCCCTAACCGAGCCAGGGCTTTGGCTATTGGGATTGCGGTGAAAGCTCCCTGCGAGGAGTTGATGGTCACAGGGTTTTTGCCGGTCCTTGGAGCTGCTGTGATGAGCCATATGCATCTACCACGGCGCTTGCCTCACCCCTGCCAGGCATCAGTTATGTGCACATACTACACTATTTCATCATTCAAAAAACGAAAGTGTTCTTTTTCACCTTCCTCAAAACCACTAGGTGACTTTTCAGAACCCTTTTTATTTGATTGAATAAAGCTGTTTTGCCCTAAACAGGGAATAATGCTTAAAGATAATTATAAAAGAAGAATTAGCATGTAGGGTCATGCTCTACACATATAATATTACTCATTTACTTTGGGGGGCTTCCTAAGCACTGGTTCAGGGGGTGTGGGGGTTTCACTCACAGTGATACTGGCAACCAGGTTGCCTGGGCTGTGGTACTGCTCAGATCCAGAGGTGCTGGACGGCCAGGGCCACCCTACCCTGGAATACCTCAGGGGCTATGCTCGGTAAGGCTTGGGGGCCATGTGGTGCCAGGTGCTACACTTGGATCCTGTGCATACAAGCGTGTTTCCCTGAGCCCTCAGTGATCTCCTAGGCCCCCATTTTGTTTTGCTTTTAAACTTGTAGGAAAAATTCATACTAAGAAACGAAGAGAAACCTAGTTTTGTCTGGTTCACTAGTATCTGTTTTTTTCCTCGCCTATACATATTTTTAATTCCATAAATTTGGGTTTATGTCAGACAACTTTACAGTTGTTGAGATTTTCATTGAAAGCTGGAGCCCTCGTAAGGGAAGCAAGCAGAGCGTTTTATTATTGACTGAGGAACTTTGCTGCCACTCTCAGGCTCCTAAGGGGATAGCAGGTTGCCAGGGACCCAGTGGTTCTGCTGGTCGGTGGTTGATGACTTACCTGGGCTTGCTCCATCCAAATGGCAGGGCAGAGGAGAGGCAAGGCCAGATCTTCGTACTGTCTGTTTTAAAGTTCACTGTCCTTATTAATTCATAACTTCCTGGACTATAGCAAAAATAGGTAAGTTTTCCAAAACATATACTATAGTCTGTTCATTACCAATCTGAGAACTGATTGGTAGGCATGAGCTAGAAGTTTCAGCATCTGTGGTTACATAGTTATATATAGAAAGCTATATATGTCTATAGTTACATATCTATATTATTATACAGCTCTATGTAGCTATATATACTTATATATGCATCTATAGTTACAAACAATGATAATTCTAATATCCTAGGGGAAGACTTCATTTTTGTGGTGGTTGAAAAGCAGAAAACTTGGAATATACTTGGGCCTCAAAATATCTATATTTCTCTTCAGGGAGTTTGACTTTCTGGCTTCCTAAGTTGTACCTTAAAGATAGTTGAAACATTTCCACTTCCACTGTAGTCACTGTAGTCACTGTAGTCACTGTAGTCACTGTTTCTGAAACAGTTTCCCCCAAGATATCTGCGTCACTGTGTCTGGTCTGTTGTTTGTCTATCTCAAATCTCTATTATAAAAGTATTAGCTGGGCAGGTATTTTTTTCTGCTTTCTTCATTGGGTTATCACACACTTCTGAACAGTGCCTCTTGTGTTGTAAACATTGGATAAATATTTGTTGAATAACTGACTAATGAAGTAATTTAGATATATTATTGGTTAAAGAATCTCTTAGACTGCCCTAAAACCCTAATCTTCTGTCTAGTCCATAGCAATAGAGTAATAATACTCCGTTTTCTGTGAGTATTGTTAAGTGCCAAAATGTTCACATGTAAATGTGCAAACATATAGAGGAATTGGTTGGTTCTTGATGAACTGCAACTCTCTTTTCAAAACAGGATGTAATATGGTCTGATTTTGGATTTCCTGGAAGAAATGGACGAGAAAGTACATTGTGGATCGGCTCCCTCGGGGCCCATACACCCTGTCACCTGGACTCCTATGGTTGCAACTTGGTGTTCCAGGTACAAGGAAGGTAATACACATGAGCGTGCATGAGAGATGTGTGCATATGTCAATCTGTGTATATGTCTGTGTATGTATGAGTATGTGTATTGTAAGAACTAGTAACCGGAAGGTAGTAGAACCCTAAGGTCTTGTCCAGGCTCCATCCTGTCCTCATGATTTAACCTGTGTTTCAGTTTTCTCCTTTGTGAAATGAGGAGAATGATTTTTAATTGAGAGGCTTGGGAAATAACTTTAGGACTCACGTGCATAGAGCCTGAGTTTCTTGTCACCTGCTGCCTTGCCCCCAAGGATGTCAGGGTGTTCCTCTGGTGGCCCTGAGCCCTGGAGCACTGAACCATCAAGCTGAATATTAATGGGAAAGTTCTGGGCCCCCTGAGCATTGCTTGGGAGGCGCCCCACCCCAATATTTTTTATTAAAGTAACAATGATGTATAACATCAGGTAATTTTATTATACAGCACTAAGAAGAGAGCAGTTTGTTGATGGAGGTAACATTGGTTCATAAGACTAAAGGTTAGTATTTGAGGGGTACAATGAAACTTCACCTGGTATACTATTAGAAAACAGTCGTTTTTCCACCAAAGTCCATTGACACCTCCCCCACTCCCCATTTCGATCCTCTGCCCACCTTGGTCACTTTAGTGCTGTGATCAGGAGTGTAAGGGTTTATGGGGCCAGAGAGATAATGCAGAGGTAAGATACTTGCACTGCACACAGCCGAGCCCAGTTTGATCTGCGGCACCATTTATGTCCCCAAGCAACAACAGGAGTGCCCATGAGCAGAGTCAGGAGTAAACTCTGAACACTGCTGTATGCGGCCCGAACACTCTAACTCCCCCACCAAAGGAAAAGTGTAAGTTGTTTGGGGATGGGCACGGTCTATTTCCTTCCATTGATTTTTTTTATCACTGATAACGTGAGATCACCAATATTAATCTTTTTCCCTCTAACTTCTCTCAGCATGAATCCCTCAAGTTCCCACCATGTTGAAGCAAAATGCAAGATGTAATTTTTTTTATAACTGAATAGGATTCCATTGTGCTTATATACCACCTTATCTGCTCATCTCTTTCGATTTGGGTTGTTTTGCCTCACCTTGGAAAGGTGAAGATATACATGTATCTTTCTGAATTAGTTTTTCTATGTCCTTAGAATAGATGTGTAGAAGAGGAATTGTTGGAACATGTTCTACTTTTAATTCTTTGGAAATCTTTATACTGATTCCATGGAGGCAGGACCAGTTTGCATTCCACATGCCACTAACACTTACAGAGGTTTTCTTCTTTCCTTCACTCCTCTGCCACCCCTTGTTTCTGGCCTTTTTGATACAGGCCACTGCCACTGATTTGAGGTAATATTTTATTGTTCTGATTTGCATTCAAGGAGGGAGGACTTCTAATGGTGGTTTCCTGAGCCAGTCAAGATTACCATTACCGCAGAAAGGTGACACTAGGGGCCACAAGATAGTACAACAGGTAAAGCTCTTGCATCTGGCTGACCTTGATTCAGTGCCCAGAACTGCATAAGGTTCCCTGAGCACAGAGACAGGAGTAATCCCTGAGACAGCTGGGTGTGCCTCAAGAGGGCTGGGGGGAAGAGTGACACTAGAATTCCTTGGAGTCCTGTCCAAGTTCAGTGAGACCACTCTGCATTTTGCCCTTTTACAAAGAATCTATTTTGTCGTTTTTATGTATGTATTAAAAAATTAGAACTACCCCTTCATTCTGCCTAAATAAATATAAGCAGAGCGATTTGTTCAAATAAGGAGATTTCATACGATCCTCAAGCCGTTGAGGCTAAGGCAGAGAGAATTACTAGTCCAGGTGGTATTTATGACCCCTGCCAGCTTGTGCATTTTAATTGTACCTTTCAGACACACAGTGCAGTTAAGTAGTACTCAGGACTTCCTCCTGGGATCACTCCTGGTGGGACTGAGGAAACCATGTGTATGGTGGTTCCAGGGATCTACCCTGGTTTGGCCAGTGCCAGGAAGTGCCCGTCCTGCTATCCTGTCATTTCTGCCCTTAGTTTTTATCTCCATCTGTATCTGAATCCTCAAGCTCGACCACACCCAGAGAACTCAAGACTTACCCTTGGCTCTGCGTGAGGTATCACTCTGGGCGAGTCTCCTGGAACCAGTGTGATGTGGGGGTTTAACCCGATTAGCTGCATGGAAGCAGGCGTGCTGCCCACAGTACTCTCTCTCCACTCAGAATCCTTCAATAGATAATGCTTTTTACATTGTCAGGTTCTAGGAATTTAATGTTAGTGCTTGATTCATCATTTGCTTTTTTCTGGTCTTTGGGGACACTTGCAGGGACATTGGGCCCAGATGGGGGGAAAGACACTTTGCACAATCTCTTAGATCCTTTAGCCACAAATATCCAAGAAAAGTCATGATTTCACACACAAAAGTGCCCACTCGGAAAACTATTAAAAGGTTATAAGGTAGTTTATTTCTAATTCATTCATTAGGTCCTTGTTCAAGGGCCTAAAACTTCTCAGAAGCATTACTGCAATTGCTTCCTGCACTGGTAAAGTGAATTGTTCCAACCCTAAATTTGTTAAGAGTGGGCATCATTTGAAGCAGCTGGTTTCCATTTGTTCAGAATTAGGAGATAAGTCTCCCAAATCCAATTTAGAAAAACACAAAATTAACAATAGTTTTAATTTACCTTTGTAATGGAACTTTTTTTTTTTTAACCTCAGCTCTGGAGTAATAAAACTAATATCCGGCTTTGCAGTTTCCACGTGTAACATGACTACGTTTGTACTGCATTGACTCTGGATTCTGATTCACAGGAAAAGGAATGTGGCCTAAGTGGTAGGAAACCGTCCATGCAGAGTGAGGCCTGGGTCTGTCCCTGACACGCACTACGTGGTGCTCTGGAGGAGGAAATTCTGCTCAGTTTGGCTGATCCTTTGGGAAACAGCCGTGGTTCGGGGAGGGCCAGGCCTAGGGCTGAAGGGGATCTGCACCCTCGCTCCGACCTCCCATAGCCATTGGCCCCAAGGCCCACACTGAGAAGCGCCGGGTCCCTCTTCACAGGAGGTCTCTTGAGATCCTTTTCAGCTCTAACATCCTACATATGCCAAGTGCCAAAGATTCTCCTACATTACTCCTAGGTTTGGTGAAACGGTGGCGGCGCTTTACCATCTCTAAAGCAAACAAGACCTTTTTGTGGAAATGCAGCCGACGGCAGCCGGTTCTGAGGAGTTAGGTCCCTTCTGGTGCTGTAGGGTCACGAGAGAGTGGTCAGCTTCTGCCTCAGAGCAGGGCTTCTGTTCCCTCTTGCCCTTTGCTTCCCTACGCATCCTGCTGCTTGTGTGTCTTGGCTTCCCTCTTTCACACTTCCCTCTCCTTTGCCTGAGGTGTCTTCTCTCAACTTTCTGGAAGTTTGCGTGAGTCTAGTGTTGAAGTGATTGAATATTTACCACATTTATTTTTCAAAAATTTGAAGTGTTGAAGCATTTTATAGAGTTTTGTTTGTCTTGTTTTGTCTTTAAATGAGATTTAAAAAAAAAACTCACTAAGCTGAGAGTGAAGGTGGGAGAAATGGGCTGGGAGGGAAAAGACTACTGTTCTGTTGGTAATGCAGCTCCATGTTTATTCCATCCTGGGTTTCATAATTTCTCAGAGAAAAGGGGATATAGAGAAACTCTCTCCCACTGTTGGTGGGCATGAAATCTGGTTCAATCTCTATGGAAAGCAATATGGAGACCTTTCAAAAAATAGGAACTTCATACGACCCAGAGCATCTACCCCCAGACACAAAAACGTTAATTTGAAAGGATAAATGCACACCTCTGTTCAATGAAACTCTTAGTACAATAGCCAGGATGTGGAATCAACCCAAATGCCCAACTCTAGTTAATGAGTCAAGAAGTTGTGGTATATAAAAGCAATGCAATACTATGTAGCTCTAAGAAAGAACAAAAGCACGCTATTTGCTACAACATTGATGGAACTAGAGGGTATCATGTTGAGTGAAGTTACTCAAAAGAAATGGGACAGATGCAGAATCTCCCACTGGAGGCTAAAGATATGGACTTAAAGATGCCTGGCAACATAGCATCAAAGGACCGAAGGCAACACAGCGGGAGAACTGATTCACAGAACTGAGTTTGAGGGCTCAGGGGTTTGAGAGGAAAGGGTGTGGGGGAGAGAGGTGGATATACTGGTGATTGGTATGGTTTGGATTATGTACATTGTGAAACCATCATTAACAGTATTATAAATCATAGTATCACAAATTTTTTAAAAAAGAAAGAAAAACTGGGCCTTGAAAACTGAGTATAGCTTTTTAGTTTAGTCTTATTCCAGAGGCTGCCAGTCTGGGCTTGTTTCACAGGGTGTGTTTGTGTGTGTGTGTGTGTGTGTGTGTGTGTGTGAATTTGCTACAGTATAGATATGTGGCATTATTTCTTCTCATTTTTCAGGTACAGTGCATTAATAGGTATTTAACTTAAGGTATTTACAACCTAAGCAAGAAGTAATCTAGAAATTATTTGATGGATTGCATTATGGTCTACTGACTTTTGAAGGGTGGAGATTCCTCTGAGGAGCTTTAGAATCAGAGATGGAAACAGTTTAGGAGACTTGATTTGTTATTCAGTAGATCATATAAACTAGATTGTATTCATACCCTAGCAACAAAGGACTGTCCCAGGGTGTCATGAGACCTGTAGTTGCTCTCCCCTCCTGTCTCCCCTCCTGCTAGGTATCTGCGGGGAATATTCTAACAGCAGTGAGAGGGGCCAGGAGAGCACTGGGGCTGCTCCTGCAGCCCCTGAAGCCTGAATGACGTGAGTGAAGGAACACAGCTGTTACTGTCTTCTTACCTACTTTGTCTCACCTTCAGACTCTAACTGGCACCTTCTCTCTCTGTGTTAATTAGGAAAAGGTGGCATCTGTTTCCTCCTGAGGACACCCCTTTCCTTTGTCCAACTAGAATCCCTTATGAAGAATCCAGTGTGTTCAGTAAAGTCAATGTTGTCAATCCTGATTTAAGGCGTTTTCCTCAGTTCCGGAAAGCTCGAAGGCATGTGGTCATTCTGCACCCAGGACAGGTAATGGAGGCGGAAACACTCGTGAGGTCCACGGACCTCCAGTCTCAGCTTCTACCAAGCTTCTGTGCCCTGTACGAAAGAGCATGGTCTCCTTCCCTGCTGCTTTCCTTGTTGGGATTATTCTGGTGAAAAAGCACAGTGTCAGGCATGCGGACCTGAGTGTGTATGGGACATTAGTTCACAATATCTGCTCAACACGAACACATAAAGCGCTTGGAGATCACGTGGATAGAGCACCTGCGAGTGAGTGAACCGAGCACTGGGCACTGCTTTTTCTGTTTCTAAAACGTCCTCAGGTATTGCAGTCAGAGCTGCTCCCCAGGGGGACAGTCCCTGCATCAGGGCTGTGTCTGCTGCTATGTGACACAGGAAGAGTACTTCATCTCTTCAGGAGATTTTATGCCCTTCACGCTCCTTCTCCCTGCCTGCGTCCTTGCGGCCTCCTTCTCACTGGCTCACTTCCTGCTTATTTCATGCCCCCGCACTTGGTTGCCTGTTGGAGTCTCTCCCCACTCGGCACTTCCTCCAACCCTGGACAGCCACCACCTATTTTATATGTAGATTTGCTTTTTCTGGATGTTTCATGTGGATGCATTGGGATGGCAAGTGGGCTTTTGTGTCTGGCATCTTGCACAGAGTAGTGTTCCCAGGGTTCTCATGTTGTAAATGTCATGAGCGTTTCGTTCCTTTCCAGAACAGAATACATTCTGTTGCTGTCGTAGCACTGTAGCACTGTCCTGTAGCACTGTCCTCCCATTGCACATCGATTTGCTCGAGCAGGCATCAGTAATGTCTCACAACAAACTGTGAGACTTGTTACTGTTTTTGGCGTATCAAATACATCACAGGTAGCTTGCCAGGCTTTGCCATGCGGGCGAGATACTCTCAGTAGCTTGCCGGGCTCTCTGAGAGGGGTGGAGGAATCAAACCTGGGTCAGCTGCGTGTAAGGCAAACGCCCTACCCGCTGTGCTATCGCTCCAGCCGTTGCTGTCATATTCCTTATAAATGGATATGTATCTTATTAATGTTTACAAATAGTTTTATTTATAAATACATAAACACAAATAAATATGTGAAGAAAATAAATTTTATTTATTCAGTTGATGGGCATTTGGATTGTTTCTGCTTCTTAGCTGTCACAAATCTTGATAATAAGAATATCTGCGTACAGGTTTGTGTATGAATGCATGTTTTCTGCCTGAGAATGGAACTGCTGGTCATATGATATCTCAGTGTTTAACATTTTGAGAACTGCCAAATTGTTTTACACAGCACCTGTACCATTTTATTGTCCTGGTACCAATGTGTGAGGGTTTACATCTCATTAATAATGCTCTTTTTCAGTATTCTTATTACTATTGATAATAATTATTGCCTTGTGAGGTATTGTTTGATATTTTTATGGGGGGGAGGGGCTAAACTCAGGGCTTACTCCTGGCTGTGATCAGTGATCGGATCAACCCTGGCCATGCTCAGGACCATATATGGGGTTGGGCAAGGCCGTATCCCCGGTACTGTCTCTCTGGCCATGGAAATTCATTTTTTTGTCTTCAATTTTAAGAGACACACTTGAGTGAGTGGTGCTGTCTATTGTGCCATTTTTCTTAAGTTCTTCTGATGCCTAATACATAGTAAAATGATTCTCTTACCACTTTATTGGAAGTATAATCTGTGATAAGACATTCATAATGAATAAATGAAATTCAGTGATGACTCAGCGATAAGAAATGATGATCGGTGATTAAATTCAATGCTGAGTTCTAAAATAACCCCTCCTCACTCCCAGCTTCACCTCGCTCAGAGCAAGTGCCCTCAGTTTCCTAACTCTGAAGCCCTAAGGCTTCATCCCCTCATCTGCTCTGCTGAACGTTTCTTCAGAAACCTCCCCCGAGCCTGGACTGCTCACTGCCAGTGTGCACTGCCCCTTCCTGTTTCATATTCAGTTGAATTACTGGGTAATGCAGAAATCTCCTGTCTTTCCGACTCGCTCATAATGTCACTGCTTTTTTTTTTCCTTTTTGGGTCACACCCAGCGATGCTCAGGGGTTACTCCTGGCTCATGCACTCAGGAATTACTCCATTACTCCTGGCGGTGCTTGGGGGACCATATGGGATGCTGGGAATTGAACCTGTGTCGGCCATGTTGGCTGCGTGCAAGGCAAACGTCCTACCTGCTGTGCTATCGCTCCAGCCCCATCATGTCACTATTTTATCCCCCAGCCCCAGCTCAGTTTTGTCAACCTGTGATGCCGGTGGAACACAATTCAGATTCTCCGTGGAAGCTGGGGCCTTTCACGGCCCTGAGCCTGTTCTCCAACCTTCTCTCCTATTTCTTCCTCAGTCTTGGAAACACAGTCCTGTGCAGTCCTACTTCCTCGCCTATGCTTCCGCTCCCTCCTGGCACGTTCTCCTTCTCTAAGTTCTCTTCTGCCCTGTTCGAACAGCACTTACAGTTTGTCTCTGCATTTCCCCTCCCACTGACATTTCTAGGCACCGTTGTCTGCTCCTCAGACTCGCCATCACTGTAGAGTCACTGTCTACATGACCTCAGGTCGGTTAGATTTCAGAGGACTATGGCAGGAAAGGACTGAAACTGGCTCCTCTATTTTTCTCCACCCCGTTCTCAGAATGCATAATCTATATTGTCATGGAAAGGAGGAAAGGCTGAAAATTCAGACCATTTCCCAAGATTTACATACATGCTTGTGGAGGATTAGGAATTTAGGTGGATCTGGGGCTGGAGCTATAGCACAGCGTGTAGGGCGTTTGCCTTGCCCGTGGCAGACATGGGTTCGATTCCCAGCATCCCATATGGTCCCCCAAGCAATGCCAGGAATAATTCCTGAGTGCAGAGCCAGGAGTAACCCCTGTGCATCGCCAGGTGCGACCCCCCCTCCCAAAAAAAAAGAATTTAGGTGAATGGATATTGGAGAAACTCGCAATATTCTTTATTGAACATATGTGAGTTTATGAAATAAAAAAAAGGATTGTCAGAATATTCTCATTTCCCTTTCCTGCAACAGTATTTCCACAAACTTATTTTTCCCTACTACTTCAGTTAGAATCTGATTTTAACAACAACAACAAAATTTTCCTGTTCTTGTGGTCATCTTTTTTTTGTTTGGTTTTCAGGTTCTGCTTGTTCCCAGACACTGGTGGCATTATGTTGAATCCGTTGATCCTGTCACTGTTAGTATCAATTCATGGATTGAACTGGTATGATTTTGGTTTTGTTTTTAAATAAATGTAATACCTGCCTTTAAGATTTCCAAAGCCTGTCTGTGAAAACTACGTGGGTTTGATATGCTGCCATTTCTGGATTTTACGCTCAGCTGAGGGATACTTCGATGGAAATAGGATTATTAATGAGATGCCCCTCCCACTCTTTTTTTTTTTAATTGAATCACTGTGAGATACACTTACAAAGCTTTCATGTTTGAGTTTCAGTCAGACAATGATCAAACACCCAACCCTCCACCAGTGCACATTTTCAGGGACCATCAGTGTCCCCAGTTTCTCCCCGCCCAAGCTCACCCCACCCCTCCCTCTCTTTAAGGCACACAGTGGGCCCAGGGGTAGGCGTGCAGAGTCCTCTTAGCAAGTTGTTAGAACTGTGTTGAGCCTGGCTGGTCTGTCTGATGTGTTCCGTGTTGTAGCCCCGTTCTACACCCCCTGGGCCTGAATTTCCTGTTCCTTGGGAAGGGTCCCTGTGCAGCTGGCAGCCACTTCGTCTCTAGCTGAGTCACTCACACTGCTGTGGAAGGCCAGAACTCACCTCCCTGCTTGTAACCACACCTCGTCATTTCTGAAATTACACAGGAATTTTTCTTCTCCTTTCCCCCAAGGCTTAGTCACTGGTCTTGCCTCCTTTACTTTCTAGTCTAGACAGTTAATAATTAAAGATCTACAAAATACAGAAAGAGCCCACGGAATGGGAAAAATTATTTACCTAATATACATCAGACAGGGCTTAATATCCAGAATATAAAAGACACAGGTAGAACTTTACAAGAATAACACCTCCAACCTCATCAGAAAATGGGGAGAAGAAATGAACAGAAACTTCCTCAAAAAAGAAATTCAAATGTTCAAAAGGCACATAAAAAAAATTCCCTCATTGCTAATCATCATGGAGATGCAAATCAGACAACAATGAGATATCCTCTCACACCACAAAGACTGGCACACATCAAAAAGAACAAGAACAGCCAGTGATGGTGCAGATGCAGGGAAAAAGGGGCTCTCTTTCATTGTTGGTGGAAATACTGACTGGTCCAGCCTTTCTGGAAAACAATATGGACATACCTCCAAAAACTAGAAATTGAGGTTCCATATGATCCAGCAATACCATTTCTGGGAACATAGCCCTGGGATGCAAAATCCTATAGTAGAAATGACATCCACACTTGTATGTTCATTGCAGTACTATTCACAATATCCAGAATCTGGAAACAACCCATATGCCTGATAACAGATGACTGGTTAAAGAAACTTTGTTCCATGTACTCAATGGAATACTCTGCAGCTATTAGGAAATATGAAGTCATGAAATTTGCTTATAAGTGGATGGCCCTGGAGAGTATTATGCTTAGTGAAAGGAATCAGAATGAAAGGGACAGACATAGAATGACTGCACTCATTTGTGGAATATAAAATATCGTAATATGAGACTAACACCCAACATCAGTAGAGACAAGGGCCAGGAAGATTACTCCATGGTTGGAAGTCTGCCTCATGAGCTGGGGGAGAAGGCAGCTGGGATGGAGAAGGGATCACTAAGTTAGTGATGGTTGGAGGGATCTCTCGGGATGGGATATGCATACTGTGAATAGATAAAGGACCAAACAGGATGGCCTCTCATTATCTGTAATCTGTTTTGCAATCTGTAATACCCATAAGTAGAGAGAGAACAAACAAGAGGGCAATTGTCTGCCATAGAGGCAGGGGGAAGGGTGGCAGGGCAGTGAGGAATACTGGGGACATTGGTAGTGGAAAATGTACACTGGTGGAGGGATGGGTGTTCGATCACTGTATGACTGAAACTCAAAGATGAAATTTTTGTAACTGTAGCTCATGGTGATTCAATAAAAAAAGAAAAGAAAAAAAATACGGTATAAGACAAAAACAAAAAAAATTGTACTGCGTTGTTTGTTTTTTTTTTTAAGATTCTTTGTACCTGTTATGTTCTATTGTCAATTCTATATGTTTTATTCTAATTTTTCTCTTTCCTCAAATAGTTTATTAAACTCTGCAGAAATTATTTCCCTGTATGTAAATAGTTTTTCTTTTGAACTTTAAGTATGTTAGATAATGGAAATGTTTGGAAGAACATCATGAGGTAGCTCATGTTTAAGGGTTATTATATCTTAGAGATAGTTACATGCTCCAGGTTATTTGGTCAGTTATTGTAGAAAGCTTTCAGATGACAAAGGATAGTGAATGTATGCAGTTAGGACCTACCAACAGTATATGTATTCCTTCTGAATGTTTATATTACTCACTGAACAGAATACATAAGTTTATTCTTTCTTTTAAACCTGAGACACAAAGACAAAGAAGAAACTTTGTAATCTTTATTTAGGAAGAAGACCACCATGCCCGGGTAGAGGAGGCCATCACCCGCACGCTTGTGTGTGCCCTGAAAACTGCAGAGGACCCGCATAATACTAGAGCCTGGCTGAACCCAACTGAGGTAGGCTGTGTCTGGTTTCCACCATGCAGTTACTGTCCTGTGATAAATCAACCCTAGACATTGTTTTACTCGTTTTTGTGTGGGTTGGTAACCATTCTAAGAGTTTTTTTCTTTTTCTCAGGTTGAGGAAACATCCCATGAAGTGAATTTTCACTACTTAAATGGAGCTGTTTCTGCCTTTATGAATCATTATGCATCTAAAATAAAAGACATCCAAATCCTGAGAACAAATGAAGGGTGTATGGGAGGGGAAGATGTACTCGGGCATAGTAACATGGAGGTGGACGGAAGGCGAAGCCAGAGCCCAGCCTTTGGGGCAGCGGAACGGGAGACTGCAAGCTCCTTTGGCCCTGATCTGATCCCTGTGCTTCGGAGTTTGGAAGACCCTCCCTCAAGGCACGGAGGCATATGTGAAAGTGATGCTAATGACTCTGTGGGCCAGGATGGAGAGCACTGTGGAGAAACACCTTGTACCAAAGGGCAGCCAGTGCGGACTCCTAGTGAGAATGCAGCTGTGGAGCAGTCGGCTCCAAATCGTCCTGCAGCTCCTTCTCAGACTGTCATTTCTACAGATGACTTGCTGGACTGCCTGGTACACCCACAAGTAACCAGGATCGTGGCACAACTTTTGATACAAGGAAGGAGTTTGTGATTATGAAAGGAAGAAAGAAAGAAAGAAAGACCCCAAAACTAAATATTTTAAACCTTTCCAAAAAATTGTATGAATTTTGAAATAAAGGATAAGAAGATTTTCAAAAATCCATTTACGCTTATTTGTAAAAGTACTTGTCCTTGCCGGGTTGAGTCTCAGCATTTCTGAGTTTCTTTCAGGCTCACTGCTCTCAGGCCAGCCTGGCCCGTTGCTGGGCCTCTGTCTTCAACGCGCGACTTTCCTCTTTGCGCTCTAGTCCCTGCCTTTACAAGTGTTTGCAACAGGAAGCCTTTTTACCCCATAATCTAACGCAGTGGTCAGATTGCCTCTTGATTTGGGAAATAAAGTTTTATGGAAGATCACCATGCCGTGTCATCTGTGATGTCAGTACAGCTTCAGAGCAGAGTAGCAAAAGACTTAGGAGGCTGCAAAGTTGGAAATACTCACTCTCTGAATATTCGTATCACCTCCTTGAAAAGGGTGCTTGCCCCAGGCCTAACTCAGCCTTTGCATGTATTGTAACTTTGATCTGGAGCAAATCATACTTTGATACTTGCAGAATTCTCACTCATTAACCTGCATTACTCACAGATACCAATCTGTGGGAAGCCAAGAGCCCTCTCATAGACCCTGGCCATGGTTCCCATGTTAGGAACTGCTTGGGACAGACATTGGTCCCAGGACTTCCTGATCTCAGTGGATACCTGATCTGTAGCCACACATCAGGCTGACAGCTTATCTGGCCTTATCTGTAGTAACCTCCAGGATGCATCTACTGCCCTAAGCCCCTTTGATATACAAATGTAAAGCTCAGGATGCACCTACTGCCATTAGACCCTTTGATGTACAAATGTCTACCTTGAATGTTAGGTAAAGCTCTTGTTGCTGACCTTACCATGTATGGTTATATTGCTTCTGCTCCTGACTGAGCTGTCTGGACTCTATATAAACAGCCTGTATCCCTCAATAAAGTGCTGTCCCTTTTTCTCTCTTTTTCTATTTCTAAACTGTACTCTGTCTCTTGTGTCATGTGTTCATTTGGTTGGTCCCTCCTTGCACCATCGGATCAATCCTTAGACCACCTCCGCGGGCCAGAGAGTGGTTACCGGGGCCCCCTGCAACTGGCGCCTACGCGGGGCAGTGTCTGGGAGACAACCGTCGAACTCCCCTTCAGGAAGCGGTGGCCACCGGGACGCACAGAAAGGTAAGTACGCGCCTAACCAAAAATCCCTGTCTCATTCGAGGCCGAGTGGGAAGATCCCCGTCTCGTTCGAGGCCGAGTGGGTACTAGCCCCTGCCTCGTTATAGAAGTCGACGGGGTGGGATCAGGGGAGAATTGAGTGTTCAGTCTCATATGAGGTATATGAGACGGTCACTGGGTTGGATAAGGCCCCCCCCCCTCCCCGCGCTCCTTTGTTGTGTCCTTTGTGGAATGTGTGTGCTAGTGAATGAGCGGTCAGGGGCGTCCTCGCCTCTGATTCAAGTCTGTGGTTCCAAGGCTGGGCACCCTTAAGGTCCCCAAAAAGGCTACGGAATCCGGTTGGGCTGTCTGTGGTTCCACGGGAAACATATGGTCTATGGTGGTGCTGACTTAGACGTCGGCCGTAAGTCACCTTTGGCTGATCCACTACGGCTAAGTTTCCCACTGGCCAGACAAGCACCTGAGTGGGCCCCTTTGTCGGGCCTCCCCCGTGTCTTGCGTCTGTTTCTCCCAGGTATTCACGTAGGGGACAGCCTTCCAGTGACCCACCTCCTGTCTCGTCTCTCTTTATGTCTTGTCTGCCTTCTACTTCTTTCATCTGTCTACTCCTCTCCTTCCTATATTTCTCATTTTCTATTCATGTGTATCTGTATCTCTGAACTAAGCAAGAAGGAATTGTTTGTTCGTGGTTTAAAGACCTCCCTTAAGCACCGAGGAATCTAGGTAAAGAAAAAGGACCTTGTCAATTTTTTTCTTCTTAAAAATGTGTATATAAGAAATGTAGGGGCTGTGACTGTCTTAAATCCCCATCTCGGCCTTTTCCTACTGGCAATGAAACTTAGAGACCTTCTTAAAGGGCTAAGGCCCTTCTGTTCCACAGTCCCCAGCCCTTCTCGGCCTCCCTCTATCCCCTCCCCCTTTGTCAGCCCAATCTTGTTTTGGGTGGCCCGGTTAGTGGGCCGATCTCTCTCCCTCTCACTCTCTCATTTCCCGGCGTTTCCTCCCTGCGGGCACGGGTCGAGCACTTAAAGGCCGCTAGGGCTCTCACCGCTAGAAGACTCCCGTGACAGGATGAGGGGGTCACAGCCGCGATTCCCAGAATAAAATCGCGTCCCCCGCAGAAGAAAATCTGTGCAACGTTAGGTACTCGTCAGTTAAGCACATCCACGTCCCCAGATTTGAAAACGCCGCCTTTCTCTTTCCCTCTCCCTCCACCCTCCTTTCTTAGGACCTTGGGAAATTCGCTTAGCAAAAGGGAACACTTTGTTGTGGGTCTTAGGGACTCTCTCCGGGTTCCAGTTACTAGCACTACAGAGTAGCTTTGTCACGTTAAATGAGATTCAAAACAAAACAAAAAAACCAACTTGGGAGTGCCTGAATGATTTCTATCTGACCCTCGGCCCAGGAGAGCTTCTCGGAACCTTTTGGATTGTAGGGCATTTTGAATCGGATGTAGAGGATGCTGTGAAAGATTCAGAGACCTTCTTACGAGAGAAAAGCCTCTCGGGCCTCCTCTCCCGTGAAGAAGCCCATATCCCAGTGCCCCTCAGTTACTATCCCCATGCCGGTTTCTGAGGCTAATATTCCTCGCTTAAAGGACAATCCCACAGATCCACCCTCTGCTCCCCACCATGACTCCCCTTCTGTCCTATCCCCAGAGGATGAGGCAGACTTCCAGCAGGAGGCTGCCCGATATCAAGAGCCCAAATGGCCCCCACACCTCCCTACCTTTTCTTCCTGACTTCCCCCTTACAACCCTAAAATGTATTTGCAAGAGAAAATTGACCTCTTTTTGGCTGCAGAATTCCAGAGTTATGCACTGCTAATTAGTAACTTGATCTGGAAAACCTGGCGCCAGGAGAAGACTCGGAAGAACTGAAACCTTGAAGGTGAAAATCACGTACATGGCCTTTGGTCAAATTAGTATATCTCTGTGTGACTGGTGAGTGTGGTGCGCACCCGTGTAAGTGGAGGACCGGTCCGAGCGAGTGTAGGAGTGTGATCTGTGCGTGTGTTCCTAGTGTGTGTATTGCCTTAATATCTTTCTCCTAGTTCTGCTTGTTAAGATTGTTTGACATGGGTCAGAATCGATCGACCCCCAAGGCTATAATTCTTAATCACTTCTCTGAGATCCACAGGAAAGCTCAGGATCTGGGCTTGAGGGTCAAGAGAGGTAAGTTTGGCATTTATTGTTCATCAGAATGACCTTCCTTTGGTGTGGATTGGCCCCCACAAGATTCCTTCTCAACAAACCATGCAAACCATGTGGCTCCAGTAAAAGAGGTAATCTGTAGAAAATCTGCTGTGAAGGCATACTCCCCTGGAAATCTCTAGGGGGCATGGGGAAGGAATGTGATAACCTCTGTGTGAATGGTCTCTGCAAGGAGGCACCCCTCCTTTGTCTGTTTTGTGTCACCCTCCACTAGTAGGAAGCCCACTAGTGAGAATGACTCTGGGAAACTAAGGCAGGCCAATTTCCAGGCATAAGATCCTTTTCCCCACCCAGGTCTAACTAGAAGATAGAGGTCAATTGAAACGCTAATGAAGGCAGTTCAGACAAAAAAAAGGGGGTAAAAGGCCAAAGTAAAGGCCAATTTACAGGAAGTTAGAATCCCCTTGGAGTGACAGACCTGGAAAAAAGTTTTGCCAAGGAACCATCCTTTTTTTTTATATATAGACTATTGCTTACAATTAGAAAAACATCCTAGGAGCTTTCAGCTAGGTAGTTTAGATAAAGAGTATCTTGTTGACCCCCGTAACACCATGTGGCCTGAGTATAGAGGGGAAAGATAGCCAGTGAATGGCAGTTTGCATTACCAGATCATTTTGCAGTCAGATCTTTGCAGGTAACAAAAGAAATAGGACAGTATCAAAGCAGAGGAGGCAGGAAAATGCAAGATCTTATGATTAACAAAGAAGCCTATCCCCATGTCTGATAAGAAGATACTAGCTCCCTGCTTCAGAATTAGTCTTGGCCAAAAAATGGTAACATCTTTGTGATAATTTATTTTGCCAGCTTATACCAACAAGCGCTTTCCTGACCCATTTTTAACAGCAGGAGACTGGCTGTTTAGGCTGGGAAATGGGGAGCAGTGGTCCCAATCGGCTGATAAGGTTTCTTCGCCCTGGGGACTGTCCCTTCCTTTCTCAAACCATCAGTTTCTCCCTGTCATCGTTTGAAGGGTCAGATTGATCAATCAGCTGCAGATGTGTGCATATGTATGTTTGGTATTTTAGTCAGTTCATTGTCTGTCTGTCTGTCTGTCTGTCTGTCTGTCTGTCTATGTGGAACACTCGAGTGTTGGAACCAGGCTGAAATCAGTAGTAGAAATTTTAGAGAAGTTAGTGCTGGGCTGGAGCGATAGCACAGCGGTAGGGCGTTTGCCTAGCACGCAGCCAACATGGCCCACCCGAGTTCGATTCCTCCGCCCCTCTCGGAGAGCCCGGCAAGCTACCGAGAGTATCTCGCCCGCACGGCAGAGCCTGGCAAGCTCCCCGTGACGTATTCGATATGCCAAACACAGTAACAACAAAGTCTCCAATGGAGACGTTACTGGGCCCGCTCAAGCAAATCGACGATCAACGGGAGGGCCTTTACTTTACTAGTGATATGCTACCCAGTGATTTAAGAAATGCAGTTGTTTTTGGGACCTGTCAGACAAGGGTGAATCCTTATCAGAAGGTTGAGCCTATAGAGAAAGCAGAATTCTCAATCTAAATTTCTTGATAGAATAACATTAATGATTATGTGATTAACAGTTGAAATCCTTTTGAACTTAAGAATCTTGTACTATCTAGAAGAGCTATGGAACTAGAGCCTGAAACTAAAGTGAAATAAGAGTTCAGAGAAAGCAAGACCTTATCTTACAAACCTCAGCTA